GTCCTGGAACTCACTCTGTAGACCAGGCTGGTCTCGAACTCACAGAGATCCACTTGCCTCTGCCTCCTGAGTGCTGGAATTAAAGGCATGTGCCACCAATGACCAGCTTGATATTAGTAGTTTTTTTAATTAAAGCATATTCAATAATATATCCTTTTATCTCATCACTTCTACATTATATATCCTTTTTTTCTTTCAAAAAGAGATCTTTGGATTTAACTCTTTTATTTAGCTTTTCATTTTACTATAACCATTAACAACTTGTAACCAACCCCCCCTTTAAACAATAACAAACATCCATAACCCATCTTTTGGGATTCTGACTGCTGATTTCTTTTTTCTAGATTGCTTCCTGTTGTTTGGGAGCACTGACATCTTTGGGGGAACTTGAGAAAGTCAGGATAATGATTAAGTCTTGGCTAGAGGAGTGTGAGGCTGGACCATCTCAGCCAGCAGTCTTGAAGCCGTTTGGGATGCAGAACTCTGAGGAACCTGCAACAGAGGCATATGAGATGCTGGACCACCTAGGCCATTCCTTTCCATTAGTGTCTGGTCTCCTTGGTCTGAAAATGCATAAACCTTTAAAAGTAACATACATGTCTGTATTCATACAAGTATAAACTGTGTTGTACACAAGTTAGCCAAAGACAATTTTTCATTTTATTTTTAAGCAGGTAAAATATACGTTACATGTTTTGCAGTTTTTTTAAAGGTTTGTTTCTTTATGTCTGTAACCAGTCAAACCTAATCATCTTCAACCTTGAACAAATCCACAGCCTTTCATTTTCTGTGGAACAAAAGCATGATCTCTTCCCCAAAGCAACATACCTTTGACTTGGATTTTGAAATTAAGACATTTTAAAAATATATAGGTTGGTTTAATCCAGCAGTTTCCGTAATCCAATGAGTTTTAGCAGCTGTCATTCCTTCACCAGCAATCAGAAAATTCAGACGACAAACTCAGAAACATACAGGATCCAGGCTCGCAGTGTATTTCCCATCTTTATGTAGCTTATTATGTTTTTATTACTTTATTCCTATTTTAAGGACTTTATTATTTTTACACTAGTTTTTCCGTGACTGCCTAGACAATTTTCTTTTCTCTCCCAGACCTATGTACATTTTTAAACACACTGCAACCCATTTAGAGAGGTTTCTTTTTCTGTATAGATTCTGTCTTTACTGCACTATCTGTAATCTTTTCTGTGTGTGAGAGCAAAACTTAAACCCACCATGTGGCTTACTTAGTTCATGGCATGCTGGTGGGCCTCACTCTGGCAGCTCAAGCCCACAGGTAATAGCTGGGCATGTAAGACATGAGGCTAGGAAGCCACGTATGGCTCCGTTTTTTGTGTGTTTGGTAGTTTTTTTTAGGTTTTATAAATGGAAATGCATGGCCTAGTCTCCATATTGGAATGCCATCTGTAGGTGGAATTTTGTGTCCTGCAAGCCATCTCCCCAAATAACCACACAGAGACTTGATATTAATCATAAATGCTCAGCCAGTAGCTTAGGCTTGTTTCCAGCCAGCTCCTACAACTTAATCCTAAACCTCATCTTTATTACTCTATGTGCTGCCCCAAGGATCATTTACCTCATCTATGAACTCCCATGTTGCTTCTTCTAAGTCTGGCTCAAGACTCCTCAGACTCTGTCCTTCTTCTTCCCAGCATGCTCTCTGCCCCAAAATCCTGCCTAGCTATTAGCCAATCAGCTTCTTGTCAACAATCAGAGCAACACATTTTCACAGTGTACAGAAGGACTATTCATTCCCCAGAAGGAAACCTCAAAGCCCACCCACAGCACCACACTTCCTCCAACAAGGCCATACTCACTCCAACAAAATCACACCTCCTACTAATGTCACTCCCTATGAGATTATGGGGCCAATTACATTCAAAGTGCCAAGCGACAGAGAATGATTTATAGAAGTAAATGATCTTCTGCACCCTGGGGATTGAACTCAGGTATTCAGACCATGTGACTATGTGTCTGTCCTCTCCCTGGAAGCCCCTTATTTGGCTTTTATTTTGATGTGGTCTCACTAAGCTTGGGCTGGATTTGAACTTACGTTGTAGCCCAGGCTGACTTTGAACTTGGGATCCTTCGACCCCAGCCTCCTGAGTGGCTGGGGTGATAAGCATACACCACCACTCTTTCCAGCAAGAAGGGAATTCTCTCACAGGTGCCTCAGTTCAGGAGCAAGAGTTAAAAGCCCAAGCTGGAGTTTGTCACTGGGAGCACGTCAACTTCTTCTGTTCACTTGTCAGTCTTAATGCCAGATGTGGTCACACACACACCTGGGAGACTGAGGTAAGAGGACCAGAAGCTCAGTGTCCTTGGCTATATAGGAAGTCAGAGGCCATCATAGACTACATGAGACCCTGTCTCAAAGAAACTGTATCAGAGTTATAGTTCATTGTTTGCTGTTATCTCCAATATCAAAAGAAAGGAAAGGCTCTATCGCAGATCACTCTCCTCAGTTGTTTTTATAGAGCAGAATCCAATGGTTTTTATTTCATTTATATTTTATATGTATGGATGTTTTGTCTGCATACATGACTGTGCCTCATGTGAGTGCCTAGTGCTGGAGGAAATCAGAAGAGATCATCAGATTCCCTGGAACAGGAATTAAAGACAGTTGTGAGCTGCCATGTAGGTGCTGGGAATTGAACCCTGATCCTTGGAAGAGCAGCCAGTGCTCTTAACCTCTGAGACATCTCTCCAGCCCTGTTTATCATGGATTTGTTATTGCTGCTTATTTGTTTGTTTATTGTGTTCTGTTTTACTTTGTGAGACAAAGTCTAGAGTCTAAGCTAGAAATCACTCTGTAGGCCTGCTGGGACACAGGCTCAAAATCCCCCTGCTTCAGCTCCCTAAGTAACAGGGGTTGACAGGCCACCAGGCCCAGCAAGTTGTTTTGCAGTTCTGGTTAACTGGTGATGTGTTTACCCTTGAAAGGAAGTGAACTTATGAACTTTATTTTTCTCTCCACAAGATCAGAGTCCTTTCTTGATAAGCTCCACACTCCTGCTCCCTCTGGCAAACTGTTCCAAAAGCTGCCTCTCACAGCAGACAGGCAGAGCTCTGCCCCCACCCCCAAGTTCTTTTTCTTTTTGGCTTTTTTGTTTGTTTCATTTTCATTTTTGTGGGGCTGGGAATTGGATTCAGAACCTTGTGCATGTTAGGCAAGCACTATAATGCTGAGGCAAACTCAATCCATATTATCATTTTAAATTACATTGTGTGTGTGTGTGTGAGTGTGTGTGAGTGAGTGTGTGTGTGTGTGAGTGAGTGTGTGTGTGAGTGTGTGTGAGTGAGTGTGTGTGTGTGTGTGTGTGTGTGTGTAATTAGCCACACATACGCACACTGTGCCGTCAGGTGAAAGTCAAAGGACAACTTTGTGGGAGTTAGTTCTCTCCTTCCACCATGTGGGTCTTGGGGATCAAACTCAGGTTGTCAGGCTTGGCAAGGGCCTTTACCCTCCTAGCTATCCCACAGACCCTTCTTTTTAATTTTTTATTATTATTATCATTATTTCTATTTTGTTTTGAGACAGGGTCCCATTAGGTAGTTCTGACTGGCCTGGAGTTTACTATGCGGACCAGGCTGGCCTCAAACTCTCAGATATACACCTGCCTCTGCCTCCCCACGTGCTAGGTCATAGGCACACACTACCATATCGAGCCCCCCCATTTATTATTACTTATGTGTGTGTGAGTGTGTGTGTGTGTGTATGAGTGTGTGTGTGTGTGTGTGTGTGTGTGTAAGTGGCCACATATATGCGCACTGTGTGTGGAGGTCAGAGAACAATGTTGAGAAATCAGCTCTTGTTTCCACAGATCTGGGGCTGGAACTCAGAGCTTTCACTCTCCAGCCCTAGACTCTTATTCTCAAACCTTAACCCTCTTGAAAACAGCAGAGCTCACGTTTTCAGCTTTCAGACTGCTGTATTTCTGCTGGGTATGTAGCTCAGCGTGTTTGCCTAGCGTTCATGAAGCCTTGAGTTCTATCCTCAGCACCACATAGACCAGGCCTGGTATAGTACACTGGTAATCCAGCGCTCAGAGAGTGGAGGCAGGAGGATAAGAAGTTCAAGGTCATCCTTTGCTACATAGTTCATCTAAGGCCAACCTGGGCTGTGTAAGACCCTGTCACCACTGTCCCCAACCTGTCTTAGGAACTAAGATATCACTCAGTAGCAAAATTACAGTTATGAATGTAATGAAATGAAATTTGAAGAAAACGAAATTAAATGTATGGTTGGGGGTTCCTAAGATCACCAGAAATGTGTTTTCCCATGGTGGTGACCCACAAGTTGAGAATAGCTGTCCTATCTTTGTTCTTTTTGCTGTGTTTCAGGGCTGGAGCATATCTCATATCTCAGCACAGCAAGTCAACACATATATGCTAGATGTTTGGCACAGACCTGTAATCCTAGCTCTTGGGGAGACTGAGGCCAGGGAACAATAAATTCCAGCCTTATAGTGAGTTAAGCCAGTGTAGACTACATAGTGAGATCTTATCACACACAAAGTCCTTATTCGATGGTCCTTTGTCATCAAAGCATTCTTGGGGGGGGGAGATTTCATATTGTTTCCAGTTTTCTTCCCAAGAGAGAGTCAGGGAAGCTCTCTCAGAACTCTTGGCAGTCATATTTTGTCACAGAGTTCAATCCAATTTCCCACCTAACTGACAAATTGACCAAAACTACCCCCCAAAAAGCAGGCCAAGAATGTTCAATTTTTTTTAACTGTCATTACATTCCATGATAGAAAGGAATACAAATTATAAGAAAATTAATTTTTAGGAGACATACTGAGACAACTAACAAAGGAAAGTAAAATAGTCAATCCTAACTTCACGGTATTCAGTAAATCTCAGTTAGAAGAAAGACTGAGTTTCCTGTTTACATGATGGTTAAAGACAAGCCATTGATGCCTGAGTCCCATCCATGACAAGGTGCCCTGTCATTTCCCTCCCCTGAAGTCAGCCAGAATCAGGTTAGAAATATGCTTTATTGTAAGTAAATAAAGGACTCCAAGGATTATAAATGGAATCAAGCAGGTGAAAGAAACGGAGGTTAAGATACCCTGCAGAATGGTGCAAGACAGAGGAGTCTCTGCCATGTTGTTACCAATAACAGGAGGGAATTCACACCTGAGTAATCAACACAGGCCTGTGATCAGACCCTCCATCCATTCAGGTGTCTTGACAATCAAGTTCAGTGTTAACGGCACTCCTGCATCTTCTCTCCATCACTGCGAGATAATGGGACTACCACAGGGTCTGAGAGCAATGCGTTGCTGTGTCCTGGGGGGAGGGGCTGGCGGTATGAATGGGTTAGTCCTGACTGGGGACACTATTCTCCTGCATAGTTTGCAGTATCCAGTCCTTGTAGTTCTTTACCTTCGTGTAGATTCCATAGGTCCCACACTTTTTCCCCCAGGACACTAGGCCTGCCACGTAGAATTTGGGGTCCCTTACATTGGGGACCGGCAAAGCGAAAGCCCCACCGCTGTCCCCCTGACAGCTGTCAACGCCCTTCTCTCCAGCACAGATCATGTTGCTGGTGAAAACGTAGTCATCCGCCCTCGCTTTGGGGTTCTCCTCTTTCACCTGTCGGCACTTCTCTAAAGAGGTCACGGGTAACTTTGCCCCTCTGAGCTGGATAACAATATTTCTCCTCTCTGTTCGGCCCCACCCTGAGATCAGTCCCAGATCACCCTCTGAGGGTTCGTACTCTGAGGAGGTGCCTGGCAGGCAGATGGGGGAAACAGTGGGCCCCATTTTCACAGGGTCTTTCAGCCGCACCAGTGCGATGTCATTGTCAAAATTTGTCCGTGTGCTTAGGTCATCCCCTGGTTTCCAGCCCGGATGGATGATCACACGGTCGGTGGTGAGCTTCTGAACGTTTGCCAGGTTTTCCATTCTCACAGACGTGGACCCCACATACATCGATGGGTCGGAGTTCCCTTCCACAACGTGAGCTGCCGTCAGCACCCAGTGCTCGCCAATAAGAGCCCCACCGGCCCTCGGGAACTCAAAGAAGACTTGCCAAGGAAAACTCTGGATCTTCGCAGGAAATCCTCCGAATATCCTCTGCTGTATTCTAAAGGGCTCAGTGGGTACCCCACAGACTAGAAAAAAACAAGAACAAGACAGAGAGATGCAGAAGCCGATGCCGGCCTCTAGAAAACACAGTCATTCAAATACTGAACCCAGTGGGCGGCTGCAGAATGTCCTAATCAATGTCATTTGGTCAACTACCTCTACAGCTGACTTATCCTAGTGTGGGAGTTTGAATGTCATTAGCCCCATAAGCTCATAGGGAGCAGCTCTATCCGGGGCTGTGGCCTTGTTGGAGCAAGTGTGTCACTGTGGGAGTGGGCTTTGAGGTCTCCTGTGCTCAAGTTATTTCTTCTGGAATGGATCAAGATGTAGGACTCTCAGCTTCTTCTCCAGCACTATGTCTGCCTGCATGCCGCCATGTCCCGCCATGATGATAAAAACTTCTGAACTGTAAGCCAACCCCAATTAAATGTTTACCTTTATAAGAGTTGCCATGACCGTGGTTCTCTTCACAGCAATAGAAAACCTAAGACACCGTGCCTCGCCTAACACATCTCCTTTGCCAGAGCCCAGCAGGCTTATGGTCAAGATTGGCATAAGGTTTATGTGAACAACTGAATCCAGATAGCTAATATTTTACACTGTCCACAGCTTGACTCACAGCCCTCTGAGGCACACTTCATGCCCAGGCCAGAAACCCGACAAGAAGCTAATGCTCACACAGACTGTGGAAGCAGGCTTTCTACCTCCAAATGGTATTCAGATGAAGCGCTTATCTAGAGGGTGTGAGGAGTGTCCCACTATGTAGCTCACATTGGTCTCACAACCCAATCAGCATCCAGAGTGCTGGGATCACAGGTGCACACCACAAGCCTAGCTCTGCTAGTGTGGTTTGTTCTGAATTCCCCTAATGCCCAATGTGATGCCAACTGTTGATGTTGGCAGACATTCCTATTTCCCTTCAAATCAGCCTGAACTGGTACAGTTGAAGGATTCCACAGCCCAGGGTTACTACCACTCGACTGTGCTGAACTCCAGGATGCCAGGATTAAGTCCTTTCCTGGGAAGATTGTAGCTATTTCTGTGTGATAACTGCTCCCAGTGTGTACAACTATGGTTTCTACCCGCATCACAGCCCAGATTACCTGGAACACATTTTGGGAGCTCTATGCCCAGCTCGTCATTCACCCAGCTCCCATTAGCAGCACAGCGATACTCCCCTGGAAGAACACAAGGAACACAGGTCACACTCAGCACATCGCTCCTCCATTCTCTGTCTACGCAAAACTTCAGCGCCTCTGGACACTGAAGAGGGAACCATGTCAAACCAGCTAGAAGAGAAGCTTTTCCCAGGAATGATGGCACTGGCCTGAAATCCTGGCAATTAGGAGGTAGAAGCAGGAAGATCTAGGCCAGCCTTTGCTACATAGAAAAGGCAAAGCCACCCTGGGCTATGTGAAACTCTATTTCAAATTTAAAAACAATGAAGTGGGGAGGAAGAGGAGAAGGGAGGAAGGAGAGGAGAATAGCCCAGGCTCACTTGAGCAACTCCTGCCTTTCAAGTGCTAGGATTACAAACCTCCATCACCATGCCTGGCCTCCTGTGGATTTCATATGAAATAAGTTATCCAAAGTCAGATAACCACATGAAGTGGGTGTTGTAAAGGAATTCCTGTTGCAGCTGTAAAACTAAGCTAGTGACCTCTGTGATCCCCCATGAATGATCCCTGAGAGCATGCCATCTGTGTCATTAGACTAAGACAAAAGGATGACAATGCATATTCTTTCTCGATTCTCTACAAACTCTCCAACCAGAGAGATAGTGGTAATCACCCTCCAACTCATTCCCACTCCTTCTCTCTCTCTTCTTCCAGTAGAAGAAACCTACCGCCGTGTTCTGCATGTTCCATGTAGTAATACGGCTCCTCACACGAGTAGTGAATGACAGAGCCAAACAGAGTATTTTCTGGATCATCAACTTTACCGTTCTGAATGGGTTCCGGAATGCCACAGTCCACAGCTAGGAGGAAGCAGGGAAATGGATAGTCAGGACAATCACTTCCTCCCAGGAAGAGTTAGGGACCCCTTCCAACCTCACTCTTCCTCAGGCACATTCAGAAGTGGCCCACGATAAGTCTTTCAATACCAGCTCTTTCGTGGCATCGTCTCTAACCCAGCTCTCCACCCACTGAGACCTGCCAATCCAGATGGGCCTTGAAAGAGGCCGTCTTTAGAGGAGGAAGCTAGTTCTCTGGTTGGCAGAGGCCCCTGTGTGAGCCCAGAATACCTCCCTTAGAGCTGTCGACTCCATATATTCCATTGCCCCCTTCTTTAGAAGAAACATTGTAGTCTAACTAGCCTAGGACTAGACAAGGGCTAGACAGTCCTCCATAGCAGGCTTTCCTTCAGCAACCACAAGCCATTCATTCTATCTCAAGCCTAAAAGGAAACCAGGCATTTGAATTCTGAAGTGTCAATTATTCAGTTCCCTTTGGGAGAGGAAGGAGACACCTACGCTGACACCGTAGCCTGGAATTGCTCCACTGTCCATTGCTTTGACAAGTAGAATAGAAGAATGTTGAGCCAACATTTCCCTGAAGAAAAACAGATGTCAACATTAATTTATAAAAGCATATGGAAAATCAAATCCAATAATAAAATTGATCTCTGGCCTTGGATCAATGAGAAGTCCTCATCAAAAGAGGCTTGAGGCATCTTTAGAAGAGTAACCCTGATCTACTACCCAAGGATCAATAGATTACTCCTCACTGACACCCACATTCACTCCCTGGGGAAATGAGGGGATATTAGAAGGGTTGGTGGGAGGGCGCAGGAGGAGGGGAGGGAAAGAGAGAGGGACCTGGAATTGACATGTGAAGCAACCTTGTTTCTAATTTAAATTTAAATTTAAAAATAAAATAAAAAAGGAGTGCTTATAAGATAAATTTTTTAAATGTTAAAAATGTAAAATTACATTATGTATATGATCTAACTACATTGTAAGAATTGTAAATCTCAAAGAGTTAATAAAAATTATTGCATGAAGAAGAAGAAGGAGGAGGAGGAAGAGGAGGAGGAGGAAGAGAAGAAGAAGAAGAAGAAGAAGGAGGAGGAGGAGGAGGAGGAGGAGGAGGAGGAGGAGGAGGAGGAGGAGGAGGAGGAGGAGGAGGAGTAACCCTGGGCACCCGGGAGCTGAGGCTGGAAAACCGCTCTTGTTATGGTAAAGAGGGGAAACATTGGTAGACAAACATGCCAGGCAGACAGAGCTAGAGAGAACTTTTATTAGCAAGGAAGAGGGGGGAAGGAAAGAGAAAAGAGGTTAGAGACAGAGACAGAGAGAGGACAGAAGAGAAGAGGGAGAGAGGAAAAGTCCTGTCTGCCCCAGGGGAACTGCAGGAAGGAGAGCGCGGAGAGGGGGAGCGTAAGTGGGCAGGGAGGGGTCTGTCTTTAAAGGGGTCTTTTGCACCTGCGTGCAGACTATGCAATCTTGGAACCCTGGGCTGACCAGGGAACTGCCAGAGTGCATTCTGCCAGGTGACAGGGGCAGGCCAGCATGATGCCTGAATCCTTACAGCTCTACCCCAGCCTCTCAGTGTCCTTCCCCAGGAAAACTGAGGACTGCGAAGGCAAGGTGGCCGAGGAGCTCCAGACCTCACAGGAAGCGTGGCTAGCCAGACCTAATGGGAAGGACGGACAACCAGACCTCACAGGAAGGATGGAGAGCCTTGAGCCATCCCATCATGGTGTTAGTGTTAGTGTCTTGGTCAGGCAGCAACAACCTCACCGGCTCGGGTGTCTCATCTGGAACCAGAGACTATGGAGCAGTCTAAACAGTACTTTACCTCTACAGCCTCAAACCCGTCCACACAGGATATCTTCACCACATCTTTAAACACGTATTTTGCCTTTTCAGGCGCCCAAACAGAGTTGGCGGTGATTTCCTTGGGACAAGGGATTGCTTGGGGAGGACAGAAATGAGATTTTACTAAACAGTTGGAAACTGCTAGTTTACATAATTCCCACTTTTTTTTTTTTGAGACAGTCTCTCTCTGTGTAGCCTAGGCTAGACTGGAACTTGCTACGTAGCTCAGGCTGTTCTCAGACTTGCAGTAATTCTCCTGCCTCTCCTTCTCCAGTGCTGGAATTACAGCTGAGCAATACCATTCCCAGACATTCTCACACTTTCTGTGAACGGGGGGAGGGGCTGGCATACCAACGCGGAGGCCAGTGCAGGACCCCTGGTGCCTGCTCTATCGCTCTCTGCCTTACCCTCCTGAGACGGGTATCCCACCACACCTGGAGCTTGCCATTTCTGCCTAGGCTAGCTGACCACCAAGACCCGTGATTCCCCTTTCTCTGCCCACCCACTCCCAAACACGGAGTTACAAACGCACATGGTTATGCCCAGATTTTGTTGTGGTACAAGGATCCAAACTCAAAGCCTCATGCCTGCGCAGCAAAGGCTCTCCCACGCTGACCCATCTCCCCTGCCCCGTCCTCCTGCTTCCTACACTCTCCCGTTGTCCTCAGTTCTAATATCTATTGTTTCAATAGGGCAGATGTGTAAATGAATATGACGCCACTAATTAGCTGCCCCTCCCTGGCGTCTGCACTTAGAAGAGTAGTTAAAAAGATTACTAACCTAACAGCAGGCTATTTGTTTTGATTCTACACGTCCAAAGAATTTAGTAACACCCATCAAAAAGGCACTTTTAGTTACTCACGGTCTCCATGGTAACGAAGCTTCCAGCCCTTTTTTTGCTCTGTTAGGTCGGTTTGAAAGACAATATCAAGAGTGTTACTGTGGGTTTCGATAGTTAGTGGCCCAGGGAATCCATTGCCACAGAAAGGACCAAATTGTCGATTTTTTGCAGCAAACTGAAAGGAATCATATAGTAAAATCAGAAGAAAAATCTAAAGGAAGGAATTAAGTGGGGGGGGGATGAAAATGAGATAAATGATTGGTGCAATATAAAATAAGAAACAAGCAAACAGCCGGGCGGTGGTGGCACACGCCTTTAATCCCAGCACTCAGGAGGCAGAGGCAGGCGCATCTCTGTGAGTTCGAGGCCGGGCTGGACCGACAGCCTCCAAAACAATACAGAGAAACCCTGTCTCGTAAAAAAAAAAAAAAAAAAAAAAAACAAACAAACAAACAAAAAGACAGGCAGAGGAAAGAGAATTTAATTCTAAAAGCAGACCCTGGTTTTGCAGGCCTGTAAGCACTGCTTCTTAGAAGATTGGGACTGGAAGAATACAAGTTAAGGCCAGATTGGGCAATTTAATGAGAATCTGTGCTAAAATATAAAAGGGGGTTATAGAAAGGGGCTGCAAGCGTAAGCCAGTTGTAGAGCATTGTCTAGCACGCATGAGGCCAAGGGTTCAGTCCCCAGTTCAGGAAGGAACAAGAAGGGGGGAAAAAAGAAAAGAAGGAAGGGGAAACCTACCCCTGGGTGCGGTGCTAACATCTGCAATCCTAGCACTCAAGAGGCTGGGGTGGGAGGGGTTTTGGGGGCCAGCCTGGGTTACATAAAACCCTGCCTTAAACTGGGAGGTGGTGGCACATGCCTTTGAGCCTAGCCCTTGGGAGACAAATGTGGGTGAATCTCTGAGTTCAAGGCTAGCCTGATCTACAGAGTAAGAACCAGGACAGCAGGGCTACACAGAGAAACTGCGTCTCAAAAATCCAAAAACAAAAAACAAAACCAACTCGCCTTAGGGAAGGAGCAGGATAAGTATGAAGTGAGAGGGAGAGAAAGAAGTGAACTAAGAGGATGTAGGTCTGTGGTAGGATGCTTGCCTAACGTGTGAAGACCCTGCATTCATGTGCAGAACCACAGAGAAGGAGGCTGCAAGAGAAGTCTCAGCAATCTAAATGGGCTAGAGTGGGAGCCAAATTCTCATCTACTACGCACCAGTAAGCTGTCCTGGCAGTTCCCCTGCGAATCAGCTGGTTCCACATCAAAATCTTCTCTCTGGATGGTCACCACCACTTGGAACCCCTCCTCCAACAAAATCTGGTACTCACACCTTGAGTTCTCGGGGTATGGATTGGGGTAATTGGGGCTTGAAATCTCCCCAATCAGGGCAGTGAATACATTCCCACTGCAATTGACTATAGGAGAAAAAGGGAGAAAGGACCAATCAAATATAGGGACAAACAAGAGGTCCCTGCTCTCCTCTGTTCCTCTCGTCATAAGCTCAGAGTCCTCGATTCGGATTAGCCAGAGATCTGGTCCCTGAATGAAGCCTCCATAGAACAATTAGCCACAGTGCTTATGGGGAGAGTTAGTCAATGCCTATACAGTGTCGTTCAGCTTGTCATGGAACTTTCCATAGTTATGAACAGCCTCAGGCAGTCTCTCTCTCTCTTTTCCATTTAGCTAACTTTACCCTGAAGACTTGTGGTTTGGATCTTAAATGTTTCCCAGAGCTACACATCCTAAGACTCAGTCGCTGGCCTGTGGCACTGTTGGGAATTAATGGAATCTTCAGAAGGTAGGGCCTAATAGGAGGAAGGTAGGACGCTGGGATATGACCTTGGAAAGGAAACTGGTACCCCTGCCCTTCCTCTGGTACCCCTGCCCCTTCCTCTTCCCTTCCCAGCCGCCTCGAGGTGAGCCGCTTTGCTCTACGGCATGGCGCCCTGCCACAGACCCCAGAACAATGGATCCAACTGACCAGAGACTGAAACTGCTCGAATCATGAACCAAAATGAACATTCCCTCCTTTTGTTCTCTCACCTTTTACAGCAATGTAAAGCTAATACACCTTATCTTCTCTCCACTCCCACCCCACCCCTGAGCTCCCACTCAATTTATGGATAGGGAAAATCAAGGAGCCTTTGAAGGGAAAGCCTAATAATTGGAAAGATGGACTAAGCCCTCAATCCATTCCAGATCCTTGGGAACATGAAGACCTCCTGATGCCAAGCTCACCTCCGCAATTCCTCATATCATCATGGAGGAAGTATTCTGGGGGGCAGGAACAGAAATAACCACCAATGAAATTGTTGCAGAAGTGGCTGCAAGGGACATCTGTAAAATCTGTGCATTCATTTACATCTGCAAAAAGGAGAGAAAATACAAGGTCAAAAACAAAGACCTAGAAGGAAGAATGATGTTAAGGCCAAATCTATAAGGATGAGGAAAAGGTTTGTTACTTAAATGTTCTCAAAGCCAGGCATGCTTGCTCAGACATGTAATGCCAGTATTCAGGTGGCTGAAGCAGAGGACTGACTCAAGTTCAGCCTGGGCTACAGTGTATAAAGATAGAGAGGGGAAGGAAAGAGGGAGGGAAGGAGGGAGGGAGGGAGGGTGGGAGAGAGGGAGGGAGGGATGGAGGGAGGGAGTAAGGGAGGGAGAGAAGGAGGAAGGGATGGAAGGAGAGAGGGAGGGAGAGAGGGAGAGAGGGAGGGAGAGAAGGAGGGAGGGAGAGAAGGAGGAAGGGAGAGAGTGAGGAGGGAGGGGGGATGAAGGAAGACTCTAATGCTCAGAGAGCATCGTGGAAGAGGAGGCAGAAAGAATGGAGGAGCCAGGGGAAGCGATGGACATGTTGTTGGGTGCTGTTTTGCACGCATGGCAGGGCCATTGCACTTAGACTCACCACAGCTATTGTTACCTGCATAAGACCATGCCTGTCAATATTTGTCATGGAGTGGGAGGAACTTATGAGGCCCCACCCCTCCCTGAGGATTTGTAGACAACTAATTCGTTGCTGGAGGAAAGAGATATGTCATATCCTGAGGTTGATGTCTTACCAATGGCAGCGTAATATGCAGCAAAGCCAGTAAACCGCTCTTCGTTGGAGAAGTCTGACCTAAAGATGACCTGGAGTTTATTGTATGGGATTTGAAACTCTTCCACAATGGGGGAGTTGGCATTCTTGCTGGTCCTCTGCCCACAGAGTCTCCCTTCCTCGACGCCTCCTGAGATTATCTAAGAGAACAGTCAAATTTAGAAGTAAAAATGTACAGAGAGAATAGAATCTTTATTCCCAATCTCCGTGTCAACCCCTCACCCTACCCCCCAGTGCTGTGCATCAAACCCATGTAAGGCAGGTGCTCTACCACTGAGTCACGCCCCCAACCCAGCGGACAGCTTGATACCGCACTGCCCCCAACATCCTCCTCATTCCTCCATCCCTCTACCCTCCAGCTCTCTTTCTCCCATGCTTGGAAAATACCTGCACTGAGTCATATTCGCAGTTCTCTGACAGCTCCATGTCCAGATGGGTGAAGTAGAGGCGAACCCCAAACCCTTCTGGGACTTCTATGTCCCACGTTTTCTCCATCTCATTGGGGTATGCCTGAGGATAGTTAGGGGACAGGATCTCCCCATGCATGGTAGGCTCAGCAGAAAATGATGCGAAAACAGAAAACAAGACAATGCACCTGGAAGGGGGGGGAAACCACAGAGAAGTGGGGAACACAGGTACCGGTGGCTTCGTGCAGAAGCCTGGCACCTGTCAGCAGGAGGCCAAAGGGAAAGGAATAGGCAGCTGATGTGCCATGATATAGACTAAGCTTGGAATAAACATATACAAAGTTAAAACTCGGGCTTCAGATCCCAGCTCTATCTTGAGAAAGTGAGAAGGCACTTAAACGGTAGGCCTGTGTGTAAGCCTCTAGGGGCAGAGGAAGGATAAAATGAGTTCCATACCAGCCTGGGCTACAAAGTAAGACCCTGTCTCAAAAATAGGGAAGAGCGAAAGAAACTGGGGACGGTGTTCTGCACATTCCTGTAGACACCTGACCACTTACCATGCCTCTGATGATTTGCCCATGGCTCTCTGGCTCTCAGGACCTCTGACCTTGGAACTAAAGGGCGGCTGGCCTGGTTGTCTTTATCCAACAAATACAGGCACCTGTTTTGGTGGTGAGGGGCCACCCAGGGCTCAGTGTCACCTGTGAAAGAATACCAGACAGATAAGTTCCTGTCAGTAACCGTCACCACCTGGCCTCTCACACCCTCCTGGTGCGATTTCAACTCCTGGACCGCGCATCTTACGCACTCCCTTTGTTGCCAAGAGCATCTGCCAATTGTTCTACAGACGAATGAGGAGCCTCTCCCACCCTTTGTGTTGTCCTCCACCTAGCTTCAGTCACTCTGTATCCCACTCAGGTCTGTCCATCCTGCACACCCACCTGGGACAGCTCCCATCCTCTCTCAGGACAACCCCCACCCTTCAAGCCGGCCTCTTTGACAGGCTCATTGCAGGTGTTTCTGTGGATGCCTCGGTAGCCATTGAGGGAGGAAAGAACTGCTTTCCATAGGGACAGGAAGGGACCTTGGGGGGAGCCCAATCAGAAGGAAAGTGTTGCCCTGCTGTGACAGGGTGACACCAGTAAGGGAGAAAAGGACAGCTGACTGAGAAACGTCAGGACAAGCGGATATATCTTATTTTAATTTTCTGAGGTTGGTTTGTTTTGTCCTTTTTAAAAAGCAAGATGTCTTCCCCTAGCTCCCCGAAAAGTCTTTCACAAGCTGCCTTCAGCCCTGAAAACACTGCTATGTGGAAAGACGAAGCTGGTGTTGGGATGGGAGTTCAACATATGAGAAACCATCTAATGTTCAGTCCTTATTCTGAGTTCCTTCCAACCCTCCGTCTCTGCCCCCGTGTTCCAAGCCTTGCTCTACACGGCTCCCTGTCCTTCCCTGCTCCTCCATCAAAGCTTTGCTCTCCAAGGTTGGCTTTCAAAGTTGTTACCTTCAGGAGCTGATGGGAACAAGCGGGTCAGTCTCCTCTCCCGCCACTGGTCATGCTGGGAAGACCCTGCCACTGCAGAGGAGTCAGCCTCTGCAGGAACCTCCGCCCGACCTCCCTGTCCTGACGGCTCCTAAGATTCCCTACCCTAGTGTGCATGTCCGAAATTCCCTGTTCCAAAACAGAGGGGGGCTGGGAGACCACGATGTAGGACAGAGCGACTCAGCCTTGATCTTAGAGCTCCCCCTGCCTTTCAAGAAAGAACTGCATTGGCCTCCCTGGGCTGAGGGATCCCGCTATCCCCAGCTCTCCTGAGAAAGGAGCAGTGGGGAATTCTGACATTGCCCAATTCTCTCTTCCAGCCAAAGGGTGTGTTTCGGAGCTTTCGGCGAAGTCAGGTGGTTTATTTTAAAAGCGGGGAGGGGTTGATAGGAGAGGGAAAGCTCAACTCACAAAGTCCAGCCCCAGGGTTGATAGGAGGGGAAAGCTAAACTCACAAAGTCCAGCCCCCTGTCAGTGTGAGTCACAAATATGGGGAGTCATCCCAAGTAAGGGGAAGTCATTGTCTGAAGGCAACGGGAGGCAAGTTGGCTCAGCGTGAGAAGGTGCCTGCCTCTGAGTTCTACCCTCTCTGGGGCCCGAATCAGGAGAAAACCTACTCCTGCAAGATGTCCTCTGAGACAGTATAAATGCAATTAATGTTTGTAAATTAAAAAATAGGTGCAGCCAGGCAGTGGTGGTGCACACCTTTAATCCCAGCATTTGTGAGGCAGAGGCAGGCGGATCTCTGTGAGTTCGAGGCCAGCCTGGTCTACAAGAGCTAGTTTCCAGGACAGCCTCCAAAGCCACAGAAAAACCCTGCCTCGAAAAACAAAACAAACAAACAAACAAACAAAAAATAGGTGCAACTCCTTATTCTTATCCTGCCTTAGAGACAAATTTAGTGGTTGAATGACAATTTACACTTAGAACACAGGTGGTGTGGACTCATGAATTTTCTTTGCCCTAAAAATACTATCTCGAAGCTGGACAAGGTGGCTGGCCAACTAGCGCTACATAATAAATCATAATGCATTTGTTTCTTGTTCAATCTGACGCACAGCTGTGATCCTGGTAGTTAGGAAGTGAAGCCGGGAGCTATCAGAAGTTCAAACCAGTCTTTCCTGACATAGTCATGTGGAGGTCTGCCTGGACTGCGTGGGATTAAAAAAGGTCAGCCTGGGCTACCCAGGACTAAAAAAGCAAGGGAGAGAGGAAGCAGGGAGGGAGAGAGGCAGGAGAGAAAGAAGGGGGAGGAAAAAGAAAAATTCCATTTCAAGTCCAGCTACTAAAGAGATACAACCCAGTGTCACTAAGCTACAACCCTTGGGTCAGATGCATGATTTTACAAAGGTAACACAGCTACAGGGACCACAAAGTAGTACTGCTCCCCCCAGGAGGGGGGCTGAGATAACAGCCTACTATCAAGATTTAATATTTCTGAACACATTGGTCCTCACTTCCATCAGGGTGGTAAGATGGGGACCCGAAGAAGCAAGGGATCTGTGCACAAGGCTTACCTCCAGTTACCCAGAGCTAGACCTGGAGTTATAAGGCAAGCTCAAGCTTAGTGTTACCAGGTTTTGCCCCACATGGGGTCCTTTTCCCTTCTGGAATTACAGAACAGATGGCAAGACAGGGCGTCAGCTGGCAGTGAAGGGGAACCTGGCTGTGGTGTATGCCGAAGAGCTGGGAGACACAGGCTCCCAAGTGTCAGCCCATCCAGGGCCACACACAGTGACCTGGCTCACACACCAACAAGAATAGATGTGGAAGACAAGCTCTCAGAAAAGAATAGGACTGAGACGGCCCAGCACTTAACCAGAGTTCAGTCCCCAGCCCCACGCCGGGTGGCTCAGAACTGCCTGTCACCCCAGCCCCAGGAGATCCGATATCCCTGTGGCACACGCACAGTTGTGCGCCTGCGCATGAATAAAAACGAAACAAGCCGTGGGCTGCAAACGTGGCTCAGTGGTTAAGAGAGTGCACCGCTCTTCCAGAGGAGACAAGTTTGGTTCCCAGCACCCATGTCAACAGCTCACAAGCAAATAGGAGAAAGACTGGAAGCCTGACTTCACCTGGGCTTCATGTAACTAAGAGAGCATGCATAAGAAAAGCCTGCAAGTTATTTCCCCAAGTGACACACACACACACACACACACACACACACACACACACACACACACACACACACGGTCAAACGTGTTGTAAAAAGGAAGCAACAACGAAGAGGGCTGTATTATATAGGGTTTTTTTTTCTTTTTGAACTTTGTCCCTGGCTCACTAGCCTACACTATGCTTGGGAGTGCCTTTCCCTTCATTAATAAATTACCTTTCCCCATGACCATCTGGGTGTTTTCACTTTTTCTTCTTTTCCTTTTTGTTTTGTTTTGCTTTTGAGACAGGGTTTCTCTGTGACTTTGGAGGCTGTCCTGGAACTCGCTCTTGTAGACCAGGCTGGTCTGGAACTCAGAGATCTGCCTGCCTCTGCCTCCCAAGTGCTGGGATTAAAGGCATGTGCCACCACCCCCTGGCTGTTTTCCCTTTTTCTGAAGACTCTTGTCTTGGTTACTTTTCTATTACTGTGATAAGACATAAAGACCAAGGCAACATATAGAAGAAAGTTTATTTAGGGCTTACAGTTTCAGAGGGTTAGAGTCCATGACTATCATGGTGGAGAGCATGGCAGCAGGCAAGCAGGCAGGGCTCTGGAGCAGTAGTTGAGAGCTCACATCTTGAGACACGACCACAAGGCAGAAAGTGCTACTTGGGGAAGGCTTATGAAAGCTCAAAGCCCACCCCCAGTGACACACCTCCTCCAGGAAGGCCACGCCTCCTACTCCTTCCCAGACAGTTCCACCAGCTGCTGAGTAAGTATTCAAATATATGAGCCTACGAGGTCTGTTCTCATTCAAACCACCGCAGCCTTCTTTTGGACATGAGGCTGCTTACTGGCCCCCATTACTCTGCATGCCAGCTTTCCTGGGCCCTGACTCTTTCCCACTTCTCCCTCTCTCTGCTCCCAGCAGCTGCCAGGGTTTATGGCTTACCGGTCTTGTTTTCTCTCAAACTCTAATGAAACTGCCATCACGCTTCCTTCTGAGTCCATTTCCAAATTCTTTTATTAACAAGAACCTGAAGAGAAGATGGCTCAGAGGCTAAGAGCACTGGCTGCTTCTCCAGGGGACCAAGGTTAGATTCTCAGCACCCACATGGTGGCTCACAACCACCTGTAACTCCAGTTCCGGGGAATCCAGTGCCCTCTTCTGGCCTCCTTGGGAACTGCATGCACAAGGTTCACAGACATACATGCAGGCAACACACATGTAAAACAAAAATAAAAAATCTTTTAAAAAAAAGATTAAGGAACCAAAAAAAGAAAACAAACACTAGTCACCTTGATACTACGGTTTATGCCAGCTATTCAGGATCCATGTGCTATGAATTTCATCACAATTAGAAGAAATTGGGTAGGATAGAAACGGGAGAAATTATGGGAATATGGGAAGGAAAAGAAAACCCTAACCCCCCAAGAGTCTAGTGAAACTTCTTGACCACTGGAAATTAACAACTCTAGCACAATTACCATCTGTTGTGACAGTTGCTGACATACAGATTTGTCTGTTCTCTTGCTGTGAAGAAACAACACAGCCAAGGCAACTCATCTAAAAGGAAGCATTTGATTGGGGACTTGCTTTCAGGGTTAGAGGGTTAGATCATGGACACCATGGTGGGAAGCAGACAGGAATGGCTCTGGAGCAGTAGCTGAGAGTTTTATACCCTGATCCACAGGCAACAGGCAGAGAGAGACAGAGACAGACAGAGACAGACAGACAGACAGAGACAGAAACAGAGAGAGAGAGACAGAGACAGAAACAGAAACACAGAGAGAGATAGAGACAGACAGAGAGACAGAGACATAAACAGAGAGAGACAGAGAGAGAGAGAGAGAGAGAGAGAGAGAGAGAGAGAGAGAGAGAGAGAGAGAGAGAGACTGGGGAGCTGGGGAGACTGGGCTTGTTGTGGGCTTTTGAAACATCAAGTCTACCTCCAGTGACACACTTCCTTCAAAAATGTCACCCCTCCTAATCCTCTCAAAACTTGCTGGGGACCAAGCATTTAAACACATGAGCCTGTGGTTGCTCAGCAGTTAAGGAGTTCTTGTTGTTCTTGCGGAGGACCCCAGTTCAATTCCCAGCACCCACACAGTGGCTCACAACCTTCCATGTAACTCTGGTTCCAGGGGATTTGACCCCTTCTTCTGGCCTCTATGAGCACCAGGCAGGCATGTGGTGCTTATACACATATGCAGGGAAAACACCCACACACATAAAATAAAATAAGTAAATCTTAAAAATTGTTTGAATGGAAATGAACCACGCACGCTCTTCCTCCTCCGCCCAGCCCCTTCCTCTTGCACCCCCTCCTCTCTTCTTTGCAACTGGGTCTCACTGTGTAGCCATGGCTGACCTAGAACTTTCTGTGTCGTCCCGGCTGACCTTGGACCCACAGAGACTGCCTGCCTCTACTTCCCAAGTGCTGTGTGCCACCATGCCAGCCTAGGAACCTTGCTTTCAGGTCTAAGCCTGTATGACCTGAATGCATGGCCTCATTCCTCCCCCAGAGTACATTTCTGGAAACCTCAAAGGCAACTCCAAACCTTTGTTTATAGTAAGAATACCTTGGGGCTGGAGAGATGGCTAAGAGGTCAAGAACACTGACTGCTTTTCCAGAGAACCAGGGTTCTGTTCCCAGCACTCACATAGGGGCTCATAATCTCCTGTAACTTTAGTTCAGGGGAACCAATGCCTTTCTCTGGCCTCTGAGGGTTCCTTCACACACACGGTCCACAAAAACTCACACAGGGACATGCACACACATCACACTAATAAGGAAATTCATTAACTTTAAAAGATTACCTTAAGATGGGAATGGCCCACGCTTTTAATCCCACTACTCAGGAAGAAAAATAGCCGGGCAGTGGTGGTGCACACCTCTAACCCAGCGCTTGGGAAACAGAAGCAGGTGGATCTCTGTGAGTTGCAGGCCAGCCTGGTCTAAGGAGCAAGTTCCAGGACAGCCTCCAAAGCTACACAAAGTAATAGAGGG